TCGAGACGTAGGCTGTGGCTATGTCTTTTGGCACTGTCGAGAATTTTACACAGCGTTCTTTCGTTCCATTGAAGGCTTTGTAAGCCTTTCTGATATTTCTTCATGTAAACGCCTCATTTCTGCTATCATTTACGCTTGTCGCACCTGTTGAGAACCGAACGGTTAAGCATGTAGATTATACGACTCTGTTTTATTTCGAACATTGAGGCGTACTTAGGCTGAATAGGACTGAAGGACAAGGATGCCTGTGAGAAACTTAACGCTGATGAATTAGCCTGAAAAAATATGTGATTCAAACATGTTGTTTACAAACCGTACAGCTTCTGCATAAGAGTCAATCATACCAAAACTGGACAAATTCTCACCATGCAGGACCACTCGGAATGAAAATGTAGTCGGGGATGGGGGCCCACGCTACAGATTTAGTATATCAAGGAACTGACACGGTGTTACGTGTTATTCCGTGTTACACATGGAACATGCGGTTCCTAGACTAATCCTTAGAAGGGAATGAGCACTGGGGTAGACGAGTTTTCTGCTTTCTGCACGGGGTAATCTCCCCACCCACCTCGGTGCTCCTACCCTCCTAAGGCTTAGTGGAAAAACTAGATCCCATGGCTGAAATCGCAGAAGAACGCACAGAAGGTCGGTGCTCATCCCCTTCATCGATACAATGCTAGTGTAACTCGGATAAGCACGTAAGCACCGTGTTGATTTCTGTTATGTGTCCCCTCCCCCTCCCTCCGAACTCACAACAAGCGTTAAGGGTACGGAAGATTCCCCAAACCTAGATGGACGTGGCAAACTGCGCGGCGAAATTCGTGGTGATTTAAACGACTCTGGCGCCTATCAATGGGGCACAAATTTGAAGTAGGATAGATAAATAGCGTCGGCTGGCCCTACTTATCCAATCTACTTAAAACTGTGCCCCAATAATGGGTGCCAAAGTCGTTTGAATTCCCATGAATTTCGCCGCGCGGTTTGCCGCGTTCATCCAGAATGGCCGCTTTCAGACCTCGACGTCCGTCCGTCCGTCCGTCGGACGGACGGACGGACGGACGGTCGTCGAGGTCTGAAAGCAGCCATTGGCCCGTATGCACAACTCCCGGGGTAGGGGAAGGGAAGGAAATGTTTGCGAAGGGCGCGAACGTTCAAATGGTAGGTTTTGGGTCAAGATAGTGACAATGGAGCGATGTTTTTTCCTATAAACAGATGAGGAATCGACAGCCCTCGATAATCATATGATGTTTTGCCTCTGCGACCTTACCTTAGCGAGAGCTCAGAGAAGCCCGACCCCATTATTTCCCCACCCTGGGAGGGGGATGAATCTACCCCTAGAATAGAGCTGGGGCGCCGATGGTCATGTAGACCGCAACTCTGCTATTCACT